TATGGCTACCCCTAATTGTACAGGAGTAAATCACTAATACTAGTTTTTAGTGCTAGTTGAATCTGAAACGGAAGTATGGAGAGATACAAGCTGGTTGAAGAACTTGGGAAGTCAGCTGCAGATATAAGAAGTTGGGTCATCCTCCCAAAAATGATCAGTTTTGAAAGGACTGCATGCAATGAAGTAATGGGCCACCAACCACTCTGCAATGTTTTATACCGTTGTTGCTGTCACTCTACTCGGTTTCAAAAAACTAAACATGGCATCCTCTATATGACGCAGTCTGTCACTAGCATTAAGAAGACAGCAGTCATTGTTTTCTTGTTATCCCCTTTTACATAGTTTATTACCTGTCAGTAGATGTTCTTTTTCCGCATACCTTACAAGGCCACCTTACAAGGCCAAGCTATCCAGCAAAAGTGGTAGTTAAAGGAAGCCTCTATAATTCACCTGGCAGCCACAAGCGCATCAATTGTATGTAGGATCTCTTGCTCTCACACGTTATAAGGAGGTTGCTAGCTATTTTATACCTAAATCACATTAAGATGAATTAATAAGCAATCATGTGTGAATAAATGTGTAATTATGAATTTGCTACTTTTTGGCCACTTTCAGAAAATTATAGCCAGCTGCATATTAAAGAGGACCTTTACCCATATCTGTAAAATAACAACAAACACACCTTTAGAAATGTTTAGTAATGACAATCTACAAACACATACTTCTAGATAATTGCCGGCTTTGTATTCTTTGCATACCTTATTTCTCTTTTCTTTCCCAGGCTTCCGGCAGTGGCCATGTTAACTAAGGGCAAGTTACTAGCTCTCCCTTTACTTCCTGGAACTCTGGCACATGTAACTAGGACATGTGGCCATGCACATCATCTCAGGGGAGAAAATTGCCTTTCCTGAGATTTTGTGAGATTACAAAGGAGATTTCCCAGCAATGCTCTGCTGATGTAACCTTCCCAGGATGCAATGCTTTGGCACATTACATAATTTGTGCCAGAACTGGACCAGGAAGTAGATGAAATGAAAAACAAGTTTGTTTAACTAATGAATGTAAGATGATTTTATATCAGCATGCAGAGCTTCACACTGATGTGATTTTTAGTAAAAGGGGGTAAAGGTCTGATTTAAATTGAAAGGTCTTTTTTATTAAAAGGAAATGACAAATAGCTTGTGTAGCAGTTCTCTATGCTATATTAGTTTTTAAACAAAAGTGGAGTTACCCTTCAATTGAAGAAATAGACTATTTATGTTGGTTGCTTTGGATATTGAATATCATTGCTATTTAAATGTTATGAAATAAAGTCTTAAAGCTGAACACCAGTATAAGCAAAGTTTGTCTCAATACAAGAGGCATGTATATTCCTAATTGAATCTTGGAGTGCTTTGTGTATTTTTCCAGACCTCCAGTCTGGAAAAATGTAATCCAGTGTCAAACGTTGCCGCTGTGCAGGAGCTTCTTGTAATTAAGACCAGTCACTGCTGCTTTCTTGTGTGCAGGGTGACTGGTCTTGCATATACTTGGCCCCACCCACACCTTTGCTCCCTGTGCAGGCTATGTGCTGCATGGTGATGATGTCACTGCTACTTTACAGGGTGATATCTGGGTTTGCCAAGGCATTTGGTGAACACAAGTGGATTTACTGTATGTCATATTGAAATATATTCAAATGCAACGTTTTGTGCCCAGAGTTTTGCTTTAAATGTTTATAGCCTAACCTGGTCAAAGGTACCTTATTTTATTGATCAACTAATGATACAACTATAACAGTATATATGATTTAGTGAAGATTACAAAATACCATTTGACTTGTCAAATTTTTTATTGTTACTGTAAGTGGACTTTATATCAACAGCCAGTTTTCTCACTGTAAGATCAAGCCCAGTATCAACCCCTGTAATATGAACTTAGACTATAACAGGAAAAAGTATAACATTTGGAATGTATATGAAAATATTGTCAACAAAATTTAAAGGATAAGTGCATCTTCAAAAAAAAAAAGTTGTGCAATAGGCAGTCTGTGAGGGGTATTTGCAGACTTTCCACATCTTCTGTCACTTTTTTCATAGGTACTGCTTGTAAGCTAAGGCCAGAGATGGGTATTGTGTGATGCTGGTAATAGCAAATAGCCAGCTCAATGCAAAATCTGTCTTCTGCCAGCCTTATTCTTTGTACCTTAGGAAGATTGCAGGAAGACTGAATCACCTTATACAAGCTGGGCAAAAAAAGCGCCTGATTTAATTAAATTAAGACCTTATACCAATATACTGTTTCTGTAAATATTTTATGTTTTGAATTTTAAAAAAAAGTTTAGAATTTGTTGAATGTTTTAATCAGGTAAATATGAAATATTGCGTGTAAATATTTTGTATTTATTTTGTATTTTGTATTTATTTATCCCAGCTGGTAGGTGGAGCTCCAGGCTCATTTCTACATGTTTATTAGATGAATACATAATAGTTTGCCTGAAAAACATCTGTTTACAGAGCTCAAATGCTCAAACACAGATTGTGCAGACAGCTGAATGAGTCTAAGGAGGAACTCCTACACCTCCTCCCTCTGATCTATATGAATGCATACAGACTTTCAGTTAGAGTGAGAAGTCTAAAAGTAAACAGCTAACACTGTGCTCTTTCTTTAAAAAAAAACCCCCATCATGCTCTGTGACACAGGTGTCCTAAAAGTGCACCTCTTAAAAGTGTTCATTTGTAAAATAAAGATTTTATATAAACAGTAACAACAATGATGTAAAACAGTTTAGAAACATGTAAACTTAAAAAAATGAAATATTTGTAACCATTATAGTTTCCATTTTAATGCCGACAGCATATAAACTGCCTAATGCTGTAAAAAGCAACTCCACATGCAGCAGTTTTTTTTTTGGATCAGAGCTTGACTCCAAATGGGTTTTACACTGCAATCACGGGCCTCTATGGGGAGATCTTTCCCCCCACCCTGTGGCAGACCAAGCTCCTTCTCCATATGTTCCTGTTATATTAAAGTTAAATTAATCTCTAAATATATAATATTGCTAGGAGGTAGGAAATTTGATAGAAGAGACATGACATTCTCTTTTGCCAAAAAAACTTCTTTCTCTAAACCCTAGAAATGTGTTATTTTCAGTGTGCACGTGTAAGGTGCATGTCATACCCTTCATTAAGAAAGATGGGGGGGGCATGAATTACATCAGCAGTGGCCACCCAATGGCTGAAGAGGATCACTGGGGGCTTCAAAAGAAATGTCAGTGGAGAGGGCGGCAACGGGGGATGTAGTGGTGACAAGTTCCTGGACCGTCAGTGATGGAAGACAACAAAGAAGATGTAGGTGTGTGCCATAGTCTGTAAGTAATCTGTAAACCTCACCCCCATCAATGAAGTGGACTTTCGCTTTAAACAGTGGTGGGCACAAATTCTCTATCATGCAGCCTAGCAGATTCTGGAGGTCTATAGGAAGGGAACTTGCAGACAAACTCACACAAGTAACTGAGCTCTGTGGCTTTTATGGTAATATTAGGGTAAGCACTGAAACCCAGCACTGATGCCAACAGGTAGCCTGGAACGGAACATATGAGGACAGATATATGGAAGCTGTCACCCAAGATTTGCTTTTAAAGGGTATATGATGGGGATCTGTGATCCTGATCATGGCTTCACTACTAAATCAGTCACTGACCTGGGACAAGCTTGTAACCAGAGTAGTCTAAAATGTCTGTGCTTGCTTCAGGTCAGCCATAGTGACTAGGCTATGGTGCCAGGATCAGAATGACCGTTGCAAAGCCAGAGCCTTTTAAAGCCAAAGCATCCAAGGCAGCTCCTGCTCTAAATCTAAATAAGGGACTTTTGGTTTTATATCTCTTGCTTTTCTTTTGCTGTTTCAAATAGACAAATGTCAAACTTCAAACATAGAAACACAGTATCTATTGTATGCAGTCATCATACGACCGCTGCTATTGACCCCACCTCCACATGATTGCTTCTTAATCAAAGCAAGCTCAGATCGTTTAGATTTGGCATTGAGTGCGCTTAGGCTAAACATAGGCTGGCAGTCATGGCTAAATCTCCATCAACAAGAGCATCTTTGCAGTGCCAGTTACAAAAAAAGTTCACAAATTAACAAAAACTTGAAAACTGGATTACACATTTTCAAATGCACATCATATTGATTTTATAATTAATGTAAATGACATTGTTTTGGGAATTGATATTTTATTAAAAAATGATAACTCCAGATTGCAGATGTCAAAGTAATTTCATGTATAAAGTACTAAGCCTAATCCTAAAGTACCTTCCGATATTATACCCATCCTAGGGCTGACTATAGTGGCGATGACGATGGTGATAACAAGGACAGATTTGCGGGTGCATTGCTTATTTGCCTTATAGATACGCTGCACAACTTACATACAGAATTCCATCTTTTCAGTAAAGTGCTCTCTTTTATTAACAATTTTGGGAAAAGCTCCTCCAGCTGTACTAGTGGGCAGCACACACACAACTGCAATGACCTTTGCCATGAACAACTGTACCGATGTCATAACAATTTAATGTTCGGTTGTTCAGAAAAAGACCATTAGAATTGCACATGGTGAACAGCAGACTCTCGGGGGAGCTTCTCGATAAATCATTAGCACATGGAACACAGGTTCTGTGTAATGCTGGATTTTTGTAACCTGAGGAGGACTTGTATGTATTTCACCTAAACGTGTATAATTAAAATGATGCTTTGAACTGTGGTCTGTTTCTATTAGTGTTTATGAGCTGAAAATGAACATGTCATCTCAATTTAAAGTACATTATTTAATACTACTGGCATCTCATATTTCCACACAATGTTTGATGATAATGGAACATTCTGTTACAGGATGGCTATATTAACTCTTGACTCGACAGAAAAGTGCAACAAGTGAAAGAGTAACCGGTGGATATACTGAATTTCTAGCCGTAGCCAGGGTAAGCTGTAAATAAACACTACTCCCATCTGACACACGGCTATCTGCTTTTAGGGTAAAATACTTAATCACTTCATCATTTTCATGAAACATCCATATCCATGGCTAATATCAACAGTTCATGACATTAAATAGAATTAAATATTGCTATAATACTTTTTAAAAACTTTGTTTTTCTACACATGAGCAATCAAAAACATTAATTAAACTCTTTTGCATTCCACACAGTGGAACAGACATACATACACACAAACTCTGAATCGACTTTGGATGTAGCATTGATATAAATGGGGTATGGTCTAACTTTTTTTTTCTCCAAAAAAGAAAAAGTATACTCTGTTATGAAAAAGAACCCATAAAGGCACAAAACTACCACACATCACACAGTTTATAGCTCATTTTGTGTTTTCCTGACTAAAATCTAAGGATTTACCAAATGTACAAAGCTTTGTCAACAAACAGCAACATATAGCATTACTGTGACCTGAAAACACAGTCAAGATTATTATTTCTTCATCTGGTTAAAAACGGTCAGTTCTGTAACAATTGTGTTATCTCTCGTAACCTGTTTTGCCTCTGGAAGGGAGACATCAGCAGAATGTCCGCACAGTCTGCAACACTTTATGACAATCATCCTATTCTGCCAACAAAATGGCTCCCTTAAAACATTGTCCATGTGAAATGAGAAGCTTAATTTCTCTGTATAGTCAATACTGGACCATCACCAATTTGAGTCCTTCGCTTTTCTCTTTAAGTTAGGTTATCATACCAAACTTCTACATTTCATGAATATAACATCAACATAAGTCACTCCGAACAGTAGTGTTGAATCCACTAACCAGAATGATTTCTTAGCTTCTCAGTAAAAAAGGTGCTTGTTGCCTATCTCAGTAGCTTAGTTTATAAGGTTTTCTAAAATCCACTGTAATAGAAGCCTTCGCTTATAATGTTCACTTCACTCTACAAAGTTTCCTTGAGAAAACAACAAAAAAAAATATTGCTTTTAATGGCGCTTCGTCTAACGAGAGCTCCATATTGTCGGTCCTCGGAGGACCACCATACTTAGCAAAAAGATTCAATTGGTGCTTTTTTTTTGTGGAAAGTCCAGTGTTTTCTTCACTAGAAGATCCGCATAACTCCTAGTCACTTTTCTCCAAGGTTCTTGGACTAGTGACATGAAAATCCAACATTACAAGTCAGATCTGCAAGATGGATTACACAACAGAAGTCATGACATAGAGATCCTTACTTGAGTTGGACCGAAAGAAAATAAAACAGTTAAACAGACTGTCTCCTTCTACATATTTCACCTTACTACTATGTTTCAATTTTAATAGTTTGAGAATGGGCTAGTTGACCAAGACATAGCCACTGTGTTGAGAGTCAACGGTTTCCATCATCTCACAGTCAAAGGGTTCATTGAGGGTTAAGGTTTCATATGATGTCTGAGGATTATGTCCTGTTGGGCTGCCCTGGTTTTCATTTAATGCCATATTGACTTGCTGTGCTGAATTAATAGAATACTGGCATTGAGTTGCATATTCTGGTTCTTGTCTTTGCACTGGTGGTAATTCACAGGTCTGATAACCATACTGTACAGATGGCTGCTGTATGTGGATCTGCGTTACCACCTGCTGCGGGCTGGGCTGTATCATGTGTTGCATCTGCTGGGAATGAAGCTCGTGATACTGACTTAAGAATGGATCATACTGAATTTCATCAGAAGCTGGTTCCAACACTGGACTCAGTGGCTGAGAAAAGCTGAACTGGTTCTGCTGTGTTGTTTCTTGGTGTGACAATGGGAGCTGCTGACCTTGCATGGGATAGGTGTTTTCTGCTATCTGCATCTGGTTGAAGTAAGCCTGCAGCTGTGGTTGCTTCTGTAGGAACATGCGCTTCTGGTGGAGCCTGTTGGATGCAAAGCAAAATCAACGTTTAAATATTTGAAGATAACATGTATATTGGCAAAAGCAATGAACACTTGTTGGCATTCATCATATGTAAGAAGTTAAAACAGCAAAGATAAATACAAATCTGCATGATTCCATCCAAAGCTGGCCATATACACCGCAATGGATAGTATGTTTCAGCAGAATTGTACCAAAATCTTGATGTGTTCATTGAAATAAAACCCAATCATTAAAAAATGGTTGAGGCAATATGAAAAGTGATCACATTAGCTATGTAAAATGTTACAAATTAAATCAGGATATTTGTGAACGGGGAAGAAATGTAATACTATAATATCACAATTTACAATGATTTAATGCTGTGTGTGACAACATAGCAAGCAAACTGGAATACTGAACACACTTAATGGAGTCTATAACTGGTCAAGCATTTGGAGGAGTTTTATCTGTTAGATCACCAACATTTATCAACAATTATATAGTGTGGGAGCTACCTTAAAAATCTATGCAAAGTATATTCAATCTGGTAAAACCTCAAAGTACACAGCTATGGGCAAATTCTGATGCTCTTATAGGTGAAGATGTGTGTTGTCTGCATACTTATAATATGGACATAAGCGTTACTGATCTGGGGAGCAAACCCCATTGTGTGTTCAAAGACTGTATTGTAATATATAACTTAAAACACACATCTGCAGACTGCATTCGTCATTTCATATGCAAGTGCATGCTTTGCTCAGTGGATAATACCTATATCATTATCATGCTACAATATGTGGGCAATGGCATTACATTCAGTGAGATCCCATAGTAGAGTGGGGATGTACTCTAAGAAGTTGATTTACTAAAAGCAAACGGGTTATTCACTTTGCATGTGAATTTTCACTATGCAAGGGAGTTTACCCTTAGCTTAGTGAATGAGGTGAAGCTCTGCTCACTTCCATGCAATAATAATCTTTGCAAAGTGAATTTTCACCACATTCACTCAGCAAAGGGGAAATTACCTTGCAAAGTGAAAATCCCCTTGCAAAGTGAACAGCCTATTTGCCTCTAGTAAATTAACCCCAATGTATCTTAAGTCTCACAATATGATCCCATTTAAGTCTATAAGGGCTCTCACTGTGCGGGTTCAGCCAGTGCTGAAGATTCTTGCCTGGAGGAGGCAAACACTGGAGGAGGCTATCAAGTAAATGTCACCAGCACAGCAAAAGTTATTCAGCAAAAGTCAATTTATTGACACATTGCCATTCTGAATGGCAATGTGTCAATAAATTGACTTTTGCTGAATAACTTTTGGTGTGCTGGTGACATTTACTTGATATTCTTGTGCTATACACGGTACCGTCCGTGGTCGTTACAAGCACCCACCTGCCTTTGCACGTCTTCTATCGTTCCGGTAAGGAGTGCAACTGGTCTTCTATTTTTTATTTTGCACTGGAGGAGGCTGTCACAGTGAGGTAGGCAAGCAGCTAAGTAAGGTGGTTTTAGGCCCAGGGCAGACCTACGCGATCAGGGATCGCGTGGTCCTGCACAATGCAGGCGGCGATTGCCACGTGGCCCTATTGATTCCAATGGGGTTATATCTGTGCGGCAATCACAGAAAAAAGGTACATATACCTTTTTTTGCGATACACGATGCGCGGCTGTTTTTTCGTGTTCGGAATCACGGGCGGAATCACAGCGGGAAACCGCGCGATCCGCCTGGGGTGCCCATAAGTTTAGTTTGGGGGCCCAGGGAGGGCGAACTACTGTGGTTTTCTAGTACAGCTGTACTTTTCCTTTAGGTTTTTTTTTACTTATAATTGCAAGCAACACAGCCCTTCAATGCTGCCAATGACATTCTATGTCATAGCATAATGGTAGTACCTATTCAGAATACTGTGAGCAGAACCAAAAAAAGGCCAACACTACAGAAGAACATCCTGTATGACACAAAGCAGAGCTGGACATGTGTTAATGCTTGACACTGAAGTTCACCTGTGTTCCTGAAGTTGCTGCTCCAAACTTCTGGGTGCTTCTTTACAATACAGCTGGCAGCTATTCTGCGTTTTCACCAGCAGATTCCCTTGCTGAAATAGAATAAAGAAAGACTGCATGAGAACAAGGAGCATTGACCATCAGTCATCAGTGACAGCACAGTAAGAAAAGTAAAAGGTCAGTATGAACTCCTGATCACGTCCACCAGGAAACAAATCAATGCAGGTTTTAAATTAATAAAACACTCTAGCAATCACTGGAACACTCGCTGTAGGGTCCTGCGCTGAGAACCAGGAAGTCTGAATTCCTGTCACTCAGCACAAGTACTTTCTGCTAGTTTCCAAAAAGGTCTTAACCTTTTGCTACTCATACACTCACGCCATGGTGATCTAGTGTCATTTATACATGTCTTGGATGTTAAAAAGAATCTCAGGAATAAGGCAAGGACATAAGGCTACATTGTCTGTCATTTTTGATCAGTGCTACTAAAGCAAATGGTATGCTTTCTATGTCTACTTTATGGGCAAATCAAATTTAATTGCTTCTTGTGAATTTATAGCAACTAATATAGAAAAGGCTAATGTGGTTTCAGAAAACAGATCAGTATCTTTACAAAGCCTAATAGTGAACCTGGAATGAATATAAAGATACAATACTAAAACATCTTCTTTGGTTCGTAGGAGTGTCTGATTTCAGGCACACTCCGAACTCTACCCTAAGGTCTCGTTCACACCTAGGCGTATTGCATATGCGCGCCTGTCGCACGACCGTTGCGCGTTTTTTTACCGCGATTCGTGGTAAAAAAGTTGCGCGACAAACGCGCGTTTCCGAAGGCTACTTGGCTGTATCCCAATGGAAACGTGCAACAAAACGGCCCAAAGTAGTACATGTACCTTTTCACGCGTGGGCCATTTTGTAGCGCGTTAGGGACGGGCGGAAATACGCCAAGGTGGGAACGAGACCATTGAATACAATGGGATTTATATTTTTGAGCGTTTTGTATAGCGTTCATCGAGCGTAGAACGCGCTACAAAACGTTCAGGTGTGAACGAGGGCTTAGTCTAAGTTTCCAAGGCAGAGCTTTGGTATGACCTCCAGAATCTCACAATGCAAAAGTAAAATAAGGAAAAACAGAAGGGTACTTCAATAGGTTCACAGTAAATGTATATGGAAAGTCTGTTCCTTAGATAATAAGTCAAACAATTTCCAGCCACATAGCACACAATTTTGTTTTTATATCATCTCCTCCTCAAATGTGAATGTTTTATCCTTGACAAATATATGGAGCTGCTATTTCAATAAATCTTATCACTGAGCTAGTTGAGGTGGCTCTTGCATGTTATCCAGTCCCGATATACATAAACATGCTCTTCAGCCTGAGTGGTTATACCCTATAGTAGAAGCTGTGTTCAATCTGCTAAAACCATTTCCAAGTCACCAGACAACCTGCGGGACCCTGGTCTGTAACTACTGACTTCCAGCTGCCCAGAATAAGGGGTTTCAACTCTGTATAAGACATCAAAGTCCAGTCAACACTTAATAATATTCCTGAACACTACATGTTTAAATAATTCGGCCTCATTATCGGATGAGCAGCTCTCTTGTTTAGTCTACCCCAATTTTTGCATATTTACCTTTAAATACACCCTACTGTTTTCCACCATTTTGGCAGTTATAAACACCCTTTGAAGAGTCCGTACAAATAGTAGCTTCATATTCCCTTTTCAGAATATTAGATTCATTTTTACAGAACATTTACATCATGAGTTAACTTCTCCCCTGGTGTTACACCTGGGAATACATTTGTTTTACAATTGACTGTATAAATGCTGGCACCTTGGAACCTATACATACAAGAGATCTGCCTGCTTTATGAAAGCCTGGACTTCTCATGTGTTGTTGTATCATATGTAGAATGGGATGATCTCCAGTTAAACCTGTTGTCCGCTTAGATTCACTACTATATATGTCTGTGCTTCCATAGCTTAAAATAGGACTTGCAAATATTTTTGCAAATGTACACTACCGAGACCTCTTTTTCATTGGTAACTTGAAACAAGTTTGATAAGCTCCCTTGCTGGCTAGAAGGGCTGAGTTCCAAGGAAATCTTAATTCAGAACTATAGTGGCATCCCCCCTCTAATATTCTGTCTATCTCAGCAGTGGTCATCACAGATAAGGGATGAACCTTCAAAATCTCTCCTGTGTAGGTCAATGACCAGTGGTTTGTAAAGGTAACATAAGAACAAACATAAGATCTGCCTAGTCTTAGCAGTTTCGCTGCAGACACATACTGGTGGACTGATTTCGGGAGAAAAATGGTCCAGGCATTTGTTATCTAAGCATGCAGGGAACTGTTCTGGAGGTCAGACATCTCTGCAGAAAATCTGGTGTCCATAGTCAGGTTAAACTGATAACAACCTTCCTTTATGAGTAGGTGTATGGCGTTTTTATCTTTCCTGCAAAATCTCTTTAATAATACATTATGTTTGGTAACAAATGATCCATTTTGTGTGACAAGCTCCATACCTGCAGCCTGTGCTGTAAATACTGTGTCTCCAGACTCTGACGCCTAGATAGTAGCTGTGGCTGCATACCATTGGGGAATGCAGGCATATTTGGAAGTTGTGTGGACAAATCCTGTTGTAAGAAAAATGCAGATAAGACTAATGTTAACATGAAAAGGCACTTTTTGTAAATGACATTATACTGTTATCAGTCAGGTCAGTATCAAACCGGTACTCTCACTGCTCTCGTATGTTCTCTATAATTTTTAATAGATTCAAAATCTAACAGAACAAGTGGGACCCCGTTGGCAGATTTGTATGGATCTGGAAAATCAAGCACAGAAATATTGCAGACACAGTCCCTAATAGCTTTAAAGCATATCTACACCCAAAAACAGAAATGTAATATATTGCTTCTTACCAGTCCTTAGATGTGGTAGCTACATTAGTCCTCTTTTTTCAAGCTATGAACGTTTTCAGCAAGTACAGAAAATGTCTGTAAACTACTAATCCTGTTAGTCCCCATGTAATAGAGATGAACAAAGGCAGATTTGCCTGGGTGGCAGCTATGGTTCCTGCCATACAGTAGATTAAGTGGAGGAGTGAGTGTAGCCACTCAGCGACAGTAGGGGTGTTATACCCAGGCACCTCATCTAAGGACTGATAAACTGCAATATATTACATTTTTGTTTTGGGTTTAGATACACTTTAGGATAAAATTAGGGTTTTTTTTAATGCAATTTCTTTTATAATACTTACTAATTGGTCATATCTACTGCATGGGCCAGGAACATCTCTCCCTACCATACAACAAACTTGTATTTTCCCTTCCATATTACAAGGATCCATTTGAAAAGAAAGACTATAGACAATACAGCCCCGTTGTTTGGTTAAGGAGAAAACACCAATTTTTCAGTAAAAACAACATGATCTTGATGTTTATTCTTCTTAACATTCATCTATTTATTCTAGGCTATTCCTAGCTAGGCTTACATTATACCTGTGGATTATTGGGATCTTGGAACTGATGAGGTATACTGATGGCATTGGGATCTTCAGTGGGTCCAATCTGTTCGTACAGCATCTGAATCTTATTGAGTTCTAGGATACCCTTGGTTCTTGCCAAGTTTTGAAGGTGCTGACGAAATGCCACGATTCCTACATTTTTATAAACAAAAAGTTTTTTGTAAACATTCTATGTGAAGAAAAGAAATCATCAAACATTTGATAAAAAAGAGAGTTCTGTAATAAATGAGTACAAGGAACAATACCTTCCAGCAACCAATTAAAAAAAGACCTCGTAACTGAGCTTACCGAATTTTGACTGGTTGTTATAGAGTACTGCACTCTGCACATAGCCCTTGCGCTTTTCACCAACTCATCAAATACATATAAATTGTACTTTTGAGTTGCAGAAAAGCACATTCTATTAGAGCAACAATAAAGGTAGTTTACATCATCTTTAACATACAAGTTTCACCATAGGAGTGGAGTTACCTTGTGTTAATGAGGTGTCAGATGCCCGTCTACCTTCTCGAAAACTCACAGGAGATCTATTGTGAGCTTCCCGTTTTTGGGAAGCCATAGCTGGCATGGGCAAATTGGTAGGTCGCAGTCCTATATATGGTGGTGTTAGCCTGGTGACAGACTGGTTGGCCATAGCTACTTCTTTCAAAACCCCAGAGTCCTCTTGGACATTTAGGTCACTCTGAATAGATCCCATGTCATATTCTGAGTCCACGCTTCCGAGAGAAGGGTGGTTACCAATACTGAAGAGTTTACCTATGAAAGAAAATGACAGTGTGGTAAAGACATTATATACAATAACAGTAGCATATCGCCGAACAATACCTGTAACAATTATTAAGCTGACATTATATCACTTGTTCGGAAATACACATTGAAATGAATATAACAGGAATTTAAAGATAAAACCCAACCTTACCCTATGTTCAACATAGTTGTATTTTGGAAGATTTCTATTCTATTCCTGTTTTAGTGACAATGCAAACTATGTCACCAGGACAAATAAAGAGGGGTGAATCTTCCCAGAGTGGACACAGTCAGCAATAAAAAGGGTTTGGCTTTAGATACACTATAAAGCATACTGTATATGTGTAAATGTTGAAATCATTTCACTTGAGTTATTGACACAGAAGCTGAGTGTAATAAATAGTATGTTAACAGCCACTTCAAGCCCGAACATGGCCCGAACATGGTCAAGGAGAACCTGTAAAACATGCCCTTCAATTGCATTACTGAAAAAGGAAGTCAGTGGTTTGGAGAAACATGCAGTCAGCTTTAGGACAAAAAAAAAATCTTTTAATACAAAAAACTCTATATACTCTAATATATTTTCCTGTTTCAACATTCAAGACATCATTCTTAAAGTGGACCTAGCATCAGATATATCAATGCTAAGGAATGTGGAAGTGCAACATTTACAGAGATTTACTATGTGCTCTCCACTCTCATTCATGGAGACCTCTGGAATAGGAACTCATACTCCATAGTACTCTAACAGTGCAGAGAACATGCGTGGGCCCAGCTGGTAAGATCGTGACAAGTGACTCTGTGGCATCGAGGAAGCCACACATCTGATATCTCACAGGAACTGGGACAGGTAAGTATAAGATTGGGAGGAGGGGAGGGGGATTGGATTAGGGAGGGGAAGTTTGGGCTACCAAATGTGTGCAGTTACATTTAAAATGATATATTACAGTTAAGTACTTACTCATGTCTGTTATGCATCCTGTCTTATCTGGCGAATAAAAGATAATGCAGGACAAAGATCGTAATGGGTCTCATTTAAAGGAGACCTTTCCTGAGAGAAACATAGGTTGCCATTGTTGCCCTCTCCTGAAAATTCTAGCTGACTGGCTGAGCTTCTGGGCTAATATTTAAATAGCCCAGAACAAGTATGAACACAAAGACTTTTGACAATCCTCTAAGTTTTCTGATAGTCATACTTGATAGTCAGTGACTATCCAATCCCTTAACAAACAAACACATTTACATAAACGCAAATTTGACAGCAAAGCCTGGAGATTGTTGTTTTTTGTTACAATTATTAAGTGTATTGTGTTGAAATCATTCTGAGGGCTCCAGCAATATTTTCCACATACCCATGAGTACCTGACCTGATCCAGGATTCAGATCACATGACATGTAAAAATAGCCTACAAATGTTTGGTTACCCAAACCACTTCACAATCCTTACCTTCCATGTCTGATGCCATATTGGGCACTACTACTAACTGGTTGGTAACTTCTGCCAGCGTGTGCCGCCTTTGACCACTATGTCTGCCTTGAAATGCTGCAAATGTTGCGGAAGGATCATCCTCAGAGTCATCTTCTGTCTCTATACCCTCGTCAATAGATGTTTCCATCATATTTGATGGCAAGGACTGGCAACCTTTCCGTACTGTCACGGGGGGCAGAGGATCCAGAAGACACCCGTTAACCTAAAAGATACAATGACAATTTTGATTTTAATACACAAGTATAGGTGAACAGGAAATAGGTGTGTTAAACCTGGTTAATTGAAGCTGAATGGTTGCCTGTAGGCAGGATCTCTTCTTTTGTGACAAATTGAATTCTATGGGATAAATACTGTATATCTAAATACAGAGTTGCGTTAGAATGATTTTTTTTTTTTAAAAACAGTGTTATATTTTCAAATGTTACAATGTCTCATCCTGTTAAAGCCCAACTGACTGAACCTTCAGCATAAATCAGCTAAATACATTGCAGGAGCATAAAAAAAGGTGTGCAAAGCCTTACAGTTCATTATTTTTTAAAAAGCAGCTACAGTCTGAGTAGAAAAGCAGTTGCAAGAGAAAGACCCTTGCTCTCTGCGTGGAAGCAGTGGTATCTCGGCAGAGATTTGAGTCAGTGCTACAGCTTTTCAATCAGGGTCTGACTAAGCAGCGGGTGTGAGACCTCTGTAAAAAGAGCAGCCATGCTCTCTTAAGAAAACAAACAGCAAGACTTTACATATATTTTGTTTCGATGCACTTGGAATGTATTTAGGTCATTTAAACTAAAAAGTCTATTTTTCATTTAATGAAGACCTTAGCTGGTGATGGGTGATAGATCAAGCCATGGTTGCATTATGGTTTCTATTGCAGTACAGTTCTATAAACCCAGTACCATGAAACTCCTTTGGAACTACCACCTGGCATCTTGGTTTCCCATTGTCTCTGCCACTCTGGTTAAGTTATGATAACCACTGGGTCAGTGAGATAAACAACTAATTTGGAAACTCAAGGAAAGGCATACTTGAGATGAGGGACATTAGTAGATCTTTGTGACAATGGACCAATGTGTTTGCATCGTACAGCTAGTAGTCTATATACTTGGTATATCAGATACAAATGGGTAACCATCCCTAATTAAAGTAAATATCCTTGAAAAATATCCCGCCCAAATATCTTATAGACCTGAATGCAACATATTCCTATAGCAATCGCAAAAAGTTTCCCAGCATACTTACCAGCCAGCATGCAAAAAAACTTGTCTCACCACTAAGGTAAAAACAGAGGTTTAGATACATTGCTCCTGCTATTCATATAGGCAATGTGCCAATAAGGTCTGAGAGGCCACAATGCGATCGGCCGCACGGCATCACAAGGCACAATAGTGCTTGTAGCATTTTGATTGCACCGGACCGCAGGCATAATGTGCCTTGCAATCTCGTGCGGCCGGAGGGCGTGGCTATGGTGCCATTCACTTCAATGGCCCACCACGCCCCCTCCTGCCCCAATAAAAGTGAGCCGGCCGCAATGTGAGGCAGTGCGTTCTGGCCAGAATCGAGCTGGAACGCACTGCAACTGGTGTGAACGAGCCCATAGGTTAGGAGGAGTGGCAGAGCAGATAGTAAAATGTATGCAGGCAGAAGGGATCGGTGTGCCAACAATGCTGCAATTTCAGAAGTGGTAACATGGCATTGACGACCTGGCGCAGGAAATGAGGCTACAGCAGCAGATCAATGGTACAAACTTAGACCAAAGGGAGAAGCCGCACACCGGAGTCCACTAACAACAACAAATGCTTAATTCACAAGGCAAAGAATATCCATTCTGCTAAGTCTCCCCATCTAGAGGGCGCCGGCACTAACGCGTTTTACCCATTAAGGGCTTAATCATAGAGACATAGATACAAACTTAGAAATGGAGGCGAGATTAGAAATGGGAGATTTACAAGTATGATAAAAAAGCTTAATGTAAAAGAACTTTTGCATTTTGCCTAGACGTCTACTTTAAACAAAGGAGTTTGCTGGAATTGTGTGAACGGGAAAGCCTTAATAAGCTGGGAAAATAAGAAAACTAAAATGTGTACATTACATACCTAGTTTGTGACACTTTTCACTATCCTAATTAGTTCTGCCTAAATATCTGAACATCTCAAATCTAAATGATATTAACTAATGTTAGGAATTCTAATGTTAGGGAATAACCCACAAAAGCTAATTGCTTACATAAAATGGCTTTTGATGGCAGAAAAATCCCACTGATCACCAAAGTCAATTGGCTGTGCCATGCAAAAACATCATATCCATGCAATTAGCAGAAATTGTGTAACATTAAAAGCTTCTGATTTGTATCAGTGCAACATGTCCCAAATCAGCAAGACATGACAACAATGCCTTTGGCAGGGAAGGAGCTTAACAGAAAACCATGCAGGAAATGGTGGCAGAGACTTGGGAATTTAATTATTTCTCTCCAGGATGTGACTAAGAATCCTTTCCATAGGAAAATGCATCTGCAAGTAGCCGACCCTATGAACTTCCCAACCAAAGGGGGCCTCCTTCACTGCATAATGTCTATCCACCCTTTACAATGCCAGCATAAGTTTATTTCCCCTTTAAATGGCTGTTTATGCAGCGGTGTTCTCACAGGAGGAATGCGCATGTTATGAGTACATAAATTAAACAATTAGCTCTAACTGTCCCTTATGAAAACCAAATTGTACATATCTTTTAATTAAATAATTTCCAAATGTCACATTTCCTCTGCTAGAGACCACAGCCCTGTGAAACACAAGCAGAAATACTTTCTTTTTTTTCTTCCCTTTTTAAAAGAGATGCTTTTATGCACTTAAAATGGTGAAAAGCAATTCAGTGTTTGCACAAAGAAGGAGGAATAAAAAAAGAACAGCATAAGTGAAATAATTCTAATGCAGGATAAAGTGGGCTTACTATGCAAACACTGAAAAGCACAGAAATAATGTTACATTCCAAGTAAAAATAGTATAGTTGCACTTGCATTGCAGTGCTGTACGTTGTATGACAGCTTGATATAAAATATTTTGTGGCCATTTTATTTGGCAAGTAATAAAAGGATTCATTTTTTTAAAAGCAGACAGAGCCAGCCAAAATATTTTTTTAAGTGCCCGATTTCAAATATGCTGATGTGTCATGACTGATGACCAAAATTCAAGGTTTTAATTTTGAAGAAATTTCAGTGAAGATTGGGAGAAATTCTGCCATGTGCCATTTTTGCAAAACATATTGAAGTCAGTGGGGAAGGCAAATTAAATAGTTTTTTGGTGGCTTTAAAGGGTTCAGTTGGCTTTAAATGGCTCCTGAAGGTTACAGAAGTTCCTTTCAACTATACTTGACCTGTTCTTGTGCCAAAAAAACACCCTTCATTCAACTAATTATTTCATCTTTTTTAAACTTAATTTAGAATGAGGAAATCATTTCATTCCACTTACTTACATTAGTCCCTGACTTTCAGGGGGCTCTTCTAGGCAAGGCTGACGTCACTAGGCCTACCCTCAGAATCTTTGGAAAGCTGAGGGTTCAAAACCCTCCAGAATGCACTCCTGCACTGAACCACATTACATACAATTTGGGGTATTCAGCTTTCCCAGGGCCCAAGAAGAAGGCCCAGTAACACCACCCTTACCTACAGAAAGCACCCGGAGGCTGGGATATAAGGCAGCATTATTTACTTGTTGTTTCTTACAGTTTTGCATTATTATTTTTTTTACAATAGTGATTTTTAATCTGGGGTAGAGGCTCCCTAAAAAGCAGAACTTTCAATTACATTTTTTATGCAAGGTCTGCTTTAGGCTAAATAGAAAAATAATAGCAAATCAAAAAGGTGAATATAACAGCAATCTTGCTATGCTGGCCTGACCCTGTTAATTTTTATTCAAACACTTAAAGATCAGGATGATACATTTTTATAAATCAAAGGGCTGAATTCAAAAAGGTCAGAAGGTGTTAAGCTTCTTATAGGCATACGGTTTTATAGAGCTACATTTCTTAAGCAACAACAACAAATTTACACTGTGACCTTACTACTTATCAGAGTCCCATCAAAGCCTTGTTAACCCGAGAAATACATATATATATATTTAATATTCCTCTAGAGCGCTCATAAAAGATGTTGCTGCTCCCTGTGTATGTAGAAGCAGCAGCATTTCAGAGAGGATCCCTGCGGTGAAGCTAAAAATACAGGATATTACACATTGTTTTTACAGCTCTCAGCGGCTCAGCTGAGATTTTCTGCAGCTGAACTATCACGACTCTACAAGTGATTGTTCATCGGTGCAACATTAATGTACCTATCATAACCTCCCCGTTGCCTAGGCTGAGTGTTAAAAAAAAGCAAAAACAAAAAAAAACCCCCAAATAACAGAGTTTCACTAGCACGAGCACATTTCATTGCATGTGCCACCTTTAACCCTTTCCTATGCCCAAGGGCCATCAAAATTGTGCACGCTATTTTAATGCCAGTTTATGACATACTGTAGTTATTGCCCTTATCAATATTCTCTGCTCCATATCTCGCTCTCTACTGATAGCTCTGTATTGCTGGTACTCTGCAGCGTATATAAACCCAGAATTCATTTTACAGTATATTTGCCATTGTGCCTCACTGTATAATGTTTTCCTAAACAAAACATTTTTTGTGATTTTGTACCAAAGTTTCTTACCTCAGGGCCCTGCCAGTATCAGCACTTTCAGGTTGAAAACACTAAGCACCTGCCTTGCAATTATCAGCAGTGTTGTCAACTTGCCTTGCATACTCCTTCAGTTGGCTGTAGGAGAGCGGACAGCAGGCTGACAATATTTCTGCTAATTGCAAGGCAAAAGCTTAGCATTGTCAGGGTGAAAAACAAAGGGGTCTATTCACGAAGCTGCCGAAGGATATAGCCGTAGCTTCGGTCGATCCTTCGGCTAGCTTCGGTCCCAGGACCCCTTCGGTTCAGTAGAACTAGTTCACTATAGCCCGTACAGCTTCCGAACTTGGCCGAGCGATTCAGTCGAGCCGAACGCCATTGCCCGACCGACAGCCTGCTTCTGACAGCTGGGCGGAGCAAGCCGTGATCTTACGGCTGGCTCCGGCCACTTGCAGAGAGATCAGCGTCCCTGGTTACCTACTAACCAGGGACACTGATCTCCAGACAGCTAACTCTCCCTGGCGCTCCGGGAGTCTCCCGCTCCCGGCCGCCAAGGACAGAAACACTGCTGTTTCTTTTTTTTTTTATTCTGACACGAGCCGTGTCAGAATAGAAAAAAATATATATTTATTTTTTGCCCATTGGAATGCATTGCTAGATTCCAATTGGCTAGTTCAATTTGCAATAGCCAATAGTAAACCTGCATTGTACCTGCCCTCTGCTGCAGTTCTCCATCAGGTCCATCAGCAGAGGGCGGGTACAATGCTAGTTTACTATTGGCTATTGCAAATTGAACTAGCCAATTGGAATCTAGCAATGCATTCCAATGGGCAAAAAATAAATATATATTTTTTTCTATTCTGACACGGCTCGTGTCAGAATAAAAAAAAAAAAAAAAAAGGAAAAGCAGTGTTTCTCTCCTGGGCGGCCGGGAGCGCCCGGGAGAGTTTTCTTTTTTCTTTAGAAAACTATTGGGCGGAGCTAGCTGTCACTGCTAGCTCCGCACAATCGTTTTCTATTTACTTTTTTAACTATTGAGGGACCGAGCAGAACAGCCGAGCTCCTCGGCATTCGGCTGTTTGGCATCTATAAGAATAGGCCGAGCAGCAGTGTGAAGCCTGCCGGAGGTTCGGCTCAGCCGATCCAGATGTTGGATCGGCTGAGTCGAACTCCTTCTGCACTTCGGGTCAGCCGAACATGCTGAGCATGTTCGGCCGACCTGAAGCCATGCAAAGCAAGCCGATGTACGGCTGATTTCAACCGATATACGGCTGAAATCAGCCGTACCAGCCTGAAGTGAATAGCCGAACAGTGTTCGGCTCACTTCACTTCAGGTCGGTCATTCACTCGGCTGCCTACGGCAGCTTAGTGAATAGACCCCAAAGTGTTGTTACTGGCAGGATCTCTTTGCAAAATATGATTTGCTTAGCAAATCTTTATACAGTGTGACATAATGCCAAACATATGACAAATAGATTTTGGTTTTATATACGCTGTAAATAATGCAGGTTAAGGGCTCATTCACACCACTGCATTGCAGTAATATGCATTTTACTGCACGTTACCACAGTGCACCCAGGCAGCACACATGTGTTGTAGTGCACCACAGGACACAGATGTAAACCACTTAAGCCTTATGGTGCATTGCATTGAAAAATATGTTAGAAAATATGTGTTAAAGTTTAAATATCGCATTGTGATGACATGAAGCACTAATATGAACAGGACCTAAGCCTAAACAATCTTACCTTCCTTCCTAACAATGGAGCTGCAATGAGTCTGGACTGGCACATTCAGTGAAGAAGAAAAGAATGTGCTCCATGGCGTTTTTAAGTACACATTTTCCACATATAGAAACTCAGTCAAGACCAGTATTTGCAGTTCTCACTCCTTGTGTAGGGTGACTGGTCTTGTATCCGCCCCGCACTTCTGCATAGCCTAATGATAATGTCACCGCTACATTTAAGGGTAATAACTGTGTTTGCAAAGTCATTTGGTGCACGCAAATTGGATATTGAGGAATATATTTGAATAAATTTCAAGCTTTCAGACTTCAGCTTTTTTCTAGCTACAGGTGAAACTCGAATAATTAGAATATCGTGCAAAAGTAATTGCAGTAAGTGCTGCAAAAGGGGCCCAAACCAAGTACTGAGTACATATGCATGCTTGTACTTTTCAGAGGTCCGATATTGTTCTATGTACAATCCTTGTTTTATTGATTGCATGTAATAATCTACTTTTTTGAGGTTGTGGATTTGGGGTTCTTGGGGTTTTCATGAGCTGTAAGCCATAATCATCACAATTATGACAAATCACGGCTTGAACTATCTAGCTTTGCATGTAATTAGTCTATCTCATATATTAGTTTCACCTTTTAAGTTGCATTAGTGAAATAAATGAACTTTGCACGATATTCTAATTATTCGAGTTTCACCTGTATATTCAAATTTATATTAATTATTATTTTATATTTAATGTTGAATAGCAAAGCAAAAGGCTATACCATTTTTTTATTGCTTTCTGCAACCTCCTGGGGAGATTCGCCTAACTGCCTGACCTGGAGACAATGTTATCATTGTGGCAAGTATTTCCCCTCTCTACTTATAAAAAGTGTTATTTTGCCATTGTGTCCTTGTTAAAGAGAATTTCTATGCAATTTCTAGGCAAATACTTTGGGGGTCAGTCAACCCAGAAGACAGAGGAAATCTTGTGGCAGAAAAGAGGTATTGCTGGGTACAGCTCCAAATTGAAGGTATTTCAGCATAATCTTTTAAAATTAAACACTATCTGATGGAGATATCATAACTTGTGGTTAGGAATCAATCACTATCCCTGGACGCATCGATCATGCTTCAGGGAGAGAGATTGTTTTCTAACTGCATGTAATCATATCACATATGATTACATGCGGTGTGCTGGCGTTTACATGCAGCCGCTGTCACGTGATCATTAACTTGAATGGGTGACAGCTGCTGCATGTGAATGGCAGATTAGGGATTCCTGCTGCAGGAAAATGACACAGAAATCTCTAATCGCACCAAAACTAACAGGTGTTATTGGGGCTTAAAACACACACACAAAGGTATACAACCCCCCACATAAATAAATACTCGCCCTCCC